GACGTGGCCTACCACTTGGTGGCTGAGTGGCTGTTGTTCCCAGTTGCTTCCACTTTGTTATAATCCCACTAAACAGTTGAGCGTGGAATATTTAGTAGCCAGGAAATGTCACGGATGGACTTATTGCCCAGGTGACCACCTATCACGGGACCACGCTTGGAGTCACTGAGCTCCTGAGAGCGACCCATTCTTTCACCAATGTTTGTAGAAGCAGTCTGCATGCCTAGGGGCTTGATTGTATACACCTGTGTTAATATTGGGGTAAATGGAATATGTATATGTGAAATATTTTTGTAACTGCTTTGTTGTTCCTTTTGTATGAAAATCAAATAAAAGTTTAAAAAAAAAAAGGAATGCGGTGCGGTTCCTGTATGAATCACATGCGATGTGCTGCACCACCCGGGCTAAATTGAACTTTTGCTTTTAATGTATCAAACAAAAGGTGTGCAAAGTCTTACCATTCCTTTTCTATAGAAAGGAGCAAGAGTCAGAATGAACAAGACTTACCCCCCTGCTAGCATGCTGTAGAGAAGACCCTTTGCTAGATGTATGTAAGCAGTGGTCTCTTTGCAGAGGTCCAACACTCACCCCCTGAAACTCTCTCATCAGTTAAGCATATGCTCCCTGCTGATTGGAGAGCTATAGGTCTGACTTAGCAGGTGGCATACAGTATTAGACCTCTGCGGAGAGACTACTGCTTCCACACAGAAAGCAACTGAGAGGAGGTGTTCTAAGATAGGGCCGTGGATAAGGGGGTACCACCAGTCTTCCTGTACAGGGCCCAGGCCAGCAGGGGGGCTCAGGCAGCTGGGTGAATCGGATGTGGGCAGGGAGGGTGATTGGCATGGAGGGGGTGCAAATACTGGAACCGATCCCCTGTATGGCTCTCCCTGCAGCAGCTGAAAGTCGGCTTCTTCTCTCCCACCCGCTGGCTTTCAGCTGCTGCAGAGAGAGCCATACAGGGGATTGGTTCCAGTATTTCCCCCCCCCCCATAGCACCTTGTCACACTCACTGTGCACCATACGCTTCTCCACTGAGTGCCCCCACCCCCGCAGTGCTGCCGGCTTTCCTCCCCTCCTTCCTACTAGCAGCTGCAAGCACACAATAGGATCCTTCAGGATGCAGAGTGGGGGAAGGGTCCTGTAAGTATGTAACATTTTCCCAGCCCCATTCCTTCCTGAATGAACACAATGAGTGCTTGGTACTGATCACTCACTGTGTTCATTCATAACTTAAGCATAGTAAACAGTCTTTTTTTTCGGGGGGGGGGCTTTCATGTTGGCTGTATGGGGCCCTGTGGTTTCTAACAGCAGCCCTGCTCTAAGAGAATGCCCAGAGAAGAGACAAAGGCCCTGAGGATGTTGGCCATGCTCCGTTTACACACCTCAAGGTTCTATTTTCAGTTTTGGCTGAAGTGGATTCAGATCATATTAAGAAATGGCCTAGGTGTCATCATTGGGTGGTATATCTTTCTGGGGGATGATTACAGTACCTGGGCGTCAGATTTCCTGAAAACAAATTAGAAATATGGGCCATGGTGTAATTGTTTATTTCTGTCACTCCGGCTTCACAAAACAGTCATTTTCCCTCCACCTTCCGCTAAGCCTGTGAAAATATTCCCTTTGTGCTGCATGCAAATGACTTTATCCACTCAAAACAGCGAAATAATCCCCCAGCTTCAATCCCAGCGTCACTCCATGTGTCATCCATAGATGCCTGGATCTGCATACATGGCATTAGGCGAGGCACTGAGAGGCTTTAATCGTAGGTAAATGCGGCTCAATTAATGGGGGAATGGAGGAGAGGGAGGAGAACAGATTTCATTTCCACAGGGAAGATAAGGGAAATTGCTGCTCAGTAAAGACACTGCGACCAAACATGAACTCTCGCTGAGTGCGATAATCTGTGCCCGTGCGTTGGCTCTGAACGGGACGCCGGGGGTTCTGTGGTTCTTTGTAGTTCTTAGAGGAGAAGGTACAAGGCACAGAGCCATGGTGTCGAACAGGGAAATGCCTGCTGAGTCTTGATGTAAGTCATGGTGTGCCCTCAGATCAAAACCAAGCTATGTTTGACATAAAGCAAACCCTTGCCCATTGCTCTAGATGGTCTCCTCATCCTCATCATAACACTTCATCCTCACCCTAAATCTTCCCTTCAACAATCTACCTAACCCTCACCCCAACATGTAACCCTGGTCAAACACCTAACATTTGTCCTCACCCTACCATGTAACCCTTATCCCAACAGCTAACCCTCACCCCAACCCTAACACTCACCTTAACACTTCATCCTCACCCTAAACCGTCCCTTCAACAATCTACCTAACCCTCACCCCAACATGTAACTCTGGTCAAACACCTAAAACCTGTCCTTACCCTACCATGTAACCCTTATCCCAACAGCTAACCCTCACCCCAACCCTAACACTGACCTTAACACTTCATACTCACCCTAAACCTTCCCTTCAACAAACTACCTAACCCTCACCCCAACATGTAACCCTGGGCAAACACCTAAATCTTGTTCTTACCCTACCATGTAACCCTTATCCCAACAGCTAACCCTCACCCCAACCCTATCACTCACCCTAACACTTATCCTCACCCTACCATATAACCTTGTGTCCCAACAGCTAACCCTCACCCCAACCCTAACACTCACTCTAACACTGCATTCTCACCCTAAACCTTCCCTTCAACATACTACCCAACACTCACCCCAACATGTAACCCTGGGCAAACACCTAACACTTGTCCTTACCCTACCAAGTAACCCTTGTCCTAACAGCTAACCCTCACCCCAACCCTAACACTCACCCTAACACTTCATCCTCACCCTAAACCTCCCCTTCAACAAACTACCTAACCCTCACCCCAACATGTAACCCTGGGCAAACACCTAAAACGTGTCCTTACCCTACCATGTAACCCATATCCCAACAGCTAACCCTCACCCCAACCCTAACACTGACCCTAACACTTGTCCTAACCCTACCATGTAACCTTTGTCCCAACAGCTAACCCTCACCCCAACATGTAACCCTGGTCAAACACCTAACATTTGTCCTCATCCCAACATGTAACCCTTATCCCAACTGCTAAAACTCACCCCAACCCTAACACTCACCTAAACACTTCATACTCTCCCTAAACCTTCCCTTCAACAATCTACCTAACCCTCACCCCATGTAACCCTGGGCAAACACCTAAAACTTGTTCTTACCCTACCATGTAACCCTTATCCCAACAGCTAACCCTCACCCCAACGCTAACATTCACCCTAACACTTGTCCTCACCCTACCATGTAACCTTTGTCCCAACAGCTAACCCTTACCCCAACATGTAACCCTGGTCAAACACCTAACACTTGTCCTCATCCCAACATGTAACCCTTATCCCAACAGCTAACCCTCACCCCAACCCTATCACTGACCCTAACACTTATCCTCACCCTACCATATAACCCTTGTCCCAACAGCTAACCCTCACCCCAACCCTAACACTCACTCTAACACTGCATTCTCACCCTAAACCTTCCCTTCAACATACTACCCAACACTCACCCCAAAATGTAACCCTGGGCAAACACCTAAAACTTGTCCTTACCCTACCACGTAACCCTTGTCCTAACAGCTAACCCTCACCCCAACCCTAACACTCACCCTAACACTTCATCCTCACCATAAACCTTCCCTTCAACAAACTACCTAACACTCACCACAACATGTAACCCTGGGCAAACACCTAACACTTGTCGTCACCCTACCATGTAACCTTTGTCCCAACAGCTAACCCTCACCCCAACCCTAACACTGACCCTAACACTTATCCTCACCCTACCATGTAACTTTGTCCCAACAGCTAGCCCTCACGCCAACATGTAACCCTGGTTAAACACCTAACACATGTCCTCATCCCAACATGTAACCCTTATCCCAACAGCTAACCCTCACCCCAACCCTAACACTGACCCTAACACTTATCCTCACCCTACCATATAACCCTTGTCCCAACAGCTAACCCTCACCCCAACCCTAACACTCATTCTAACACTGCATTCTCACCCTAAACCTTCCCTTCAACATACTACCCAACACTCACCCCAAAATGTAACCCTGGGCAAACACCTAACACTTGTCCTCACCCTACCAAGTAAGCCTTATCCTAACAGCTAACCCTCACCCCAACCCTAACACTCACCCTAACACTTCACCCTCACCCTACCACGTAACCGTTATTCTAACAGCTAACCCTCACCCCAACCCTAACACTCACCCTAACACTTCATCCCCCCCATACCACGTAGAGAGGTTCTTTTTTTCTCTTGGGAGAGTGCATGTGATCCGCACAGGGCCAATCAGCACTGTCCAGACAGAGGTCAGGGGTTCTGAATCTTCCTAGAGCAGAAAGAAAACTCCTCCTACAAGCTTTAACCAGTGCTCAGCTGGACACTGATAGAAGTCATAAGACTGCTATATACTGCTGATGATAAAAATGTATTTAGCAGTTTATATTTACTACAATAATTGCATTTCCATGTTCTGTGTACTGTGGGAGACCATATACAGTAAATGCGGGGTCCGGGGAGAGCGGATATAGTGAATGCAGGGTCCGGTGAGAGCGGATATAGTGAATGCCGGGTCCGGGGGAGAGCGGATATAGTGAATGCAGGGTCCGGGGAGAGTGGATATAGTGAATGCAGGGTCCGGGGAGAGTGGATATAGTGAATGCAGGGTCCAGGGAGAGCGGATATAGTGAATGCGGGGTCCGGGGAGACCGGATATAGTGAATGCAGGGTCCGGGGGGAGAGCAAATATAGTGAATGCGGGGTCCAGGGAGAGCGGATATAGTGAATGCGGGGTCCGGGGAGAGCGGATATAGTGAATGCAGGCTCCGGGGAGACCGGATATAGTGAATACATGGTCCATGGAGAGCGGATATAGTGAATGCAGGGTCCAGGGAGACCAGATATAGTGAATACAGGGTCCGCGGAGAGCAGATATAGTGAATGCAGGGTCCGGGTAGACCAGATATGGTGAATGCAGGGTCCGGGGAGAGCGGATATAGTGAATGCATGGTCCGGGGAGACCAGATATAGTAAATGCGGGGTCCGGGGAGAGCGGATATAGTGAATGCGGGGTCCGGGAAGTCCAGATATAGTAAATGCAGGGTCCGGGGAGACCAGATATAGTGAATGCAGGGTCCGGGGAGACCAGATATAGTGAATGCGGGGTCCGGGGAGAGCGGATATAGTGAACGCAGGGTCTGGGGAGAGCGGATATAGTGAATGCAGGGTCCGGGAAGAGCAGATATAGTGAATGCGGGGTCCGGGGAGAGCGGATATAGTGAATGCGGGGTCCGGGGAGAGCAGATATAGTGAATGCAGGGTCCGGGGAGACCGGATATAGTGAATGCGGGGTCCCGGGGAGAGCGGATATAGTGAATGCGGGGTCCGGGGAGAGCGGATATAGTGAATGCGGGGTCCGGGGAGAGCGGATATAGTGAATGCGGGGTCCGGAGAGAGCGGATATAGTGAATGCGGGGTCCGGGGAGAGCGGATATAGTGAATGCGGGGTCCGGGGAGAGCGGATATAGTGAATGCGGGGTCCGGGGAGAGCGGATATAGTGAATGCGGGGTCCGGGGAGAGTGGATATAGTGAATGCTGGGTCCGGGGAGAGCGGATATAGTGAATGCGGGGTCCGGGGAGAGCGGATATAGTGAATGCAGGGTCCGGGGAGAGCGGATATAGTGAATGCGGGGTCCGGGGAGACCAGATATAGTAAATGCGGGGTCCGGGGAGAGCGGATATAGTGAATGCGGGGTCCGGGGAGAGCGGATATAGTGAATGCAGGGTCCGGGGAGACCAGATATAGTAAATGCGGGGTCCGGGGTTTAGTTACACTTTAATAACATTCAGTTTGTGAGAGTACTCAGGTGTATTTGCACAGCGGGGGGGGGGGGGGGCCCTCTCCTCTTAGTAAAAGACCCCCAGCTCTGTGATCCACAATTACGCCAAACGGCTTTCATTCCTGGCAGAGCTGTTCATTATCACCCGATGCTGCTTGGTGGCCCCTTATCGCGGGGCTGTGTGATGTTCATCCATTCATCCCGTGTCTGTCTGCCTGTAAGCTCTGATCTCCAGCTCGGCTTAAGTCTGCTTAGTGAGCTGCTGATCCTTTATGAGGACTTCACAATGCACCTTCCTCTCCGCTCACATGACAGGCACCGTATGGTAAATCAGTCATTATAGAGAATCCGCGGCCGCGTCGCTGTGTCCCCTGTGACCGGTCACCGCTTCTCTGCATGCCTAGATGAAAGGCTTATTGTAACCAATAAAATCACACACATCAAAAAGCGATGTAAAATACGCCTTTATGTTTAGGGAGCATTGAAGCCCTTGCAGCCGCCGAGCCAGCGCTTGCGCAGGATGGGCTCTGATATAAAGTGGAAATCTGAAAAGCTGCCGAGTAAAAATGCCAGAACTTTTTTTTTTTTTTTTTTTTTTTAGTTTTGGATAGGCTTGGGATAAATACAGGGTCTATTTATAAAAAAAAAATTGCTGGACGGATGTCGCAAGCATGCGCCCAGCTGTCACGAATTCTCATGGTATTTTGTCTAATATGGTTATCTTCTATGATCTAGTGGCCATGATGTGGTAATTTAGTGGTTGAGGTATTTCGGGAAGATGCAGCATTATGGCCACTAAAAATTGTGTGATGGGTGGTATCTCTCTGGGATGGCGTTGTGCGTTGGGTGGTATCTCTCTGGGATGGCGTTGTGCGATGGGTGGTATCTCTCTGAGACGGCGTTGTGCGATGGGTGGAATCTCTCTGGGATGGCGTTGTGTGATGGGTGGTATCTCTCTTGGACAGCCTTGTGTGATGGGTGGTATCTCTCTGGGACGGCGTTGTGTGATGGGTGGTATCTCTCTGGGACGGCATTGTGCGATGAGTGGTATCTTTCTGGGACAGTGTTCTGCGATGGGTGGTATCTCTCTGGGACAGTGTTCTGCGATGGGTGGTATCTCTCTGGAGAAGTGTTGTGCGATGGGTGGTATCTCTCTGGGACAGCATTGTGTGATGGGTGGTATCTCTCTGGGACGACGCTATGCGATGGGTGGTATCTCTCTGGGACAGCATTGTGCGATGGGTGGTATCTCTCTGGGATGGCGTTGTGCGATGGGTGGTATCTCTCTGGGACAGCATTATATGATGGGTGATATCTCTCTGGGACAGCGTTGTGCGATGGGTGGTATCTCTCTGGGATGGCGTTGTGCGATGGGTGGTATCTCTCTGGGACAGCGTTGTGCGATGGGTGGTATCTCTCTGGGATGGCGTTGTGCGATGGGTGGTAACTCTCTGGGACGGCGTTGTGCGATGGGTGGTATCTCTCTGGGACAGCATTGTGCGATGGGTGGTATCTCTCTGGGATGGCGTTTGTGCGATGGGTGGTATCTCTCTTGGACGGCGTTGTGTGATGGGTGGTATCTCTCTGGGACAGCATTGTGTGATGGGTGGTATCTCTCTGGGACAGCATTGTGTGATGGGTGGTAACTCTCTGGAATGGCATTGTGTGATGGGTGGTATCTCTCTGGGACAGCATTGTACGATGGGTGGTAACTCTCTGGGACGGCGTTGTACGATGGGTGGTATCTCTCTGGGACAGCATTGTGTGATGGGTGGTATCTCTCTGGGACGGCGCTATGCGATGGGTGGTATCTCTCTGGGACAGCATTGTGCGATGGATGGTATCTCTCTGGGATGGCGTTGTGCGATGGGTGGCATCTCTCTGGGACAGCATTATATGATGGGTGGAATCTCTCTGGGACAGCGTTGTGCGATGGGTGGTATCTCTCTGGGATGGCGTTGTGCGATGGGTGGTATCTCTCTGGGACAGCATTGTGTGATGGGTGGTATCTCTCTGGGACGGCGCTATGCGATGGGTGGTATCTCTCTGGGACAGCATTGTGCGATGGATGGTATCTCTCTGGGATGGCGTTGTGCGATGGGTGGCATCTCTCTGGGACAGCATTATATGATGGGTGGAATCTCTCTGGGACAGCGTTGTGCGATGGGTGGTATCTCTCTGGGATGGCGTTGTGCGATGGGTGGTATCTCTCTGGGACAGCGTTGTGCGATGGGTGGTATCTCTCTGGGATGGTGTTGTGCGATGGGTGGTATCTCTCTGGGACAGCATTGTGCGATGGGTGGTATCTCTCTGGGATGGTGTTGTGCGATGGGTGGTATCTCTCTGGGACAGCATTGTGCGATGGGTGGTATCTCTCTGGGACAGCATTGTGCGATGGGTGGTATCTCTCTGGGATGGCGTTGTGTGATGGGTGGTATCTCTCTTGGACGGCGTTGTGTGATGGGTGGTATCTCTCTGGGACAGCATTGTGCGATGGGTGGTATCTCTCTGGGACAGCATTGTGTGATGGGTGGTAACTCTCTGGAATGGCATTGTGTGATATCTCTCTGGGACAGCATTGTACGATGGGTGGTAACTCTCTGGGACGGCGTTGTGCGATGGGTGGTAACTCTCTGGGATGGCGTTGTGCGATGGGTGGTATCTCTCTGGGACGGCGTTGTGCGATGGGTGGAATCTCTCTGGGATGGCGTTGTGTGATGGGTGGTATCTCTCTTGGACGGCCTTGTGCGATCGGTGGTATCTCTCTGGGACAGCATTGTGCGATGGGTGGTATCTCTCTGGGACAGCATTTTACGATGGGTGGTATCTCTCTGGGACAACATTGTGTAATGGGCGGTAACTCTCTGGGACAGTGTTGTGTGATGGGCAGTATCTCTCTTGGACAGCACTGTGTGATGGATGGTATCTCTCTGGGATGGCATTGTGCGATGCGTGGTATCTCTCTAGGATGGCGTTGTGCGATGGGTGGTTTCTCTCTGGGACAGCGTTGTGTGATGGGTGGAATCTCTCTGGGACAGCGTTGTGCGATGGGTGGTATCTCTCTGGGATGGCGTTGTGCGATGGGTGGTATCTCTCTGGAACAGATCTGTGTGATGGGTGGTATCTCTCTCGGATGGCGTTGTGTGGTAGGTGGTATCTCTCTGGGAGAGCGTTGTGCGATGGGTGGTATGGCTCTGGGACAGCACTGTGTGATGGGTGGAATCTCTCTGGAAAAGCATTGTGCGATGGGTGGTATCTCTCTGGGACAGCATTGTGAGATGGGTGATATCTCTCTGGGACAGCATTGTGCGATGGGTGGTATCTCTCTGGAATGGCGTTGTGTGATGGGTGGTATCTCTCTGGGACAGCGTTGTGTGATGGGTGGTATCTCTCTGGGATGGCGCTGTGCGATGGGTGGTATCTCTCTGGGATGGCGTTGTGTGATGGGTGGTATCTCTCTGGGATGGCGTTGTGCGATGGGTGGTATCTCTCTGGGATGGCGTTGTGTGATGGGTGGTATCTCCCTGGGATGGCGCTGTGCGATGGGTGGTATCTCTCTGGGATGGCGTTGTGCGATGGGTGGTATCTCTCTGGGATGGCGTTGTGTGATGGGTGGTATCTCTCTGGGATGGCGCTGTGCGATGGGTGGTATCTCTCTGGGACAGCATTGTGGGTTACTAGCTTCGGAATGGGTCTCAGCAGGAAAGTGTCTCCTGAAATGGTTTCGTCTGCTGCCTGCCCTGACCTTTGCTTGGATTGTGCTCGCACCCTGTATCCTCATCCCAGCCATTCTTCTCCCATGACCCCTTGTCAAAGCGATGGTGATGGCCACAACCTGTCACCAGCAAAGTGGACCAAGGGCCTCTAGAGTGGCCCATTACACCTTGCCTTGATTGTGCACATTGGGTGAGCCCATGTCACCTGCCAGAGGTGTCATCCGTAACATTGTAGCGTGGAGAAGTCTGCGTAGCTTCTGTTGTTATAATCTTGTATTTGTTTGCCTTTCAGTGGTTATCAGTGTCTCAGCATAAAACGACCATCTTGGGTGCCATCAGTTTTTAATTTAAGCAAACAAGTAGTTTATTGTGGACACAGATGGCGAAGGCGGCCGAGATGTTCTGATAACCAGGGTCCTGCGTGGGACACGGCACAGATGGCGACAGATATTAATGGGGAACTCCGACTCAATATCAGTCCTGCATAATTTTCAGTAAAGGAGCTCGATGAGCCACAATGATACAGAATCATTATCGGGGCTCCAAAGCACAGTGGGTGTCCCACCACATTTCTTTTATATAGGGTCTGGGTTTGCTGGACGTTTTCTTTTATTTGGGGTTTTAGGTTGAGGTAAGGTTTAGACGTTATGACCAAGGTGCATTAACAGGCGAGGTAAATGGTGACATTTAATGCATATCTCTAGTCAAAACTTTTGACTCTCTTCATGTACACTGTCAGATGTTTTTGTTGTTGTATCTAGGTGTTAGTT